CAGCCTTCGCAGCTGCCTTCTCTGTGGGTGTGCCGGGTCCAGAATCCACGGATTGGCTGAAGATTTGTTGTACCAACTGCTCATCGAGAAGTTGCTCCTGTGTCATGGAGGCAAAGTCATGTTCTTTAGGCGACGCCATGATGGCCCACCAACGAACAAAGCGAGCAGAGAGCAGGGCTAGGTAGGGTGGGAGGCTGCAGATGAAGCTGCTGATCAGGTAGGATAGGGGTTTTGAATAAGAAGGTGCGCTCGATCTTGCATGCAGGGCTCCGTCTAGTGCTCCTTATATTCGTATACAGCTGCAAGGCAGTGCTGGTTGTCTGTGTACCTAATCTAGGTAGATGTGGCTGTCTTTGTGGGAAGGTGTGTAAGTTATTGTCGCATCGTCGCATGTCAAGAGAAAGACGGAGAAAGCAAGCACATCTCAGGCTAAGGTCACACTTTGCTTAGAAGATATAGAGAAATGTAACTAAGCAGAGGGTGGATGGACAAGGCTAGGCGGGCACGGCTGGGTAGGTAACCACCGTAGCCTTATGCAGGATTGTTCACTGGACGATTTGCTGGATGCGACCAGATAGAAGAAAGTGGCCTCGGGACAAGTATGCAATGCTCCCGCCAGACTTAGGAAGAATAGGAAGAAAGGGCCAATAAGCACGACCTGGATATACTAGTTGAGGCTTGGTGTTTTCGGCGTCCGGGGGGGAGGAACAAAGGATGAAAACGGGGAATGAAGACAGTGGAAAAGAGAGACGGGATTGGAATTGAAAGAGCTTCCCATGCCAAAGAAATAGATCAATCAGCCTCAGGGTCTCCGGGGAAGAAGTCGGGCGCGATCAGGCTTCGTCAGGATCAATGGGGATGATGGAAGTGAGTGGACTGGATGACTGCCTACAGTTGTACAGTTGTGCGGCTGTACAATTGTAGCCTGCCTGAAGTTACCTCACATTTGCGCATTCAAGGCATGTAGTTGTAGGTCTGTGCTATGCGAAGTGCGTGATGTGGGTGATGTGGGTGATGTGCGTCAAGTAGGTACGTCGACAGCTGGAGGTATGTACAATAGGTATGTATGTAGGTACGAAGTAGGTAGGCATGGGCATGGCCCCGGGCCCCGGGGGGATCCATCGATGTATGTAGGCATGCAAGCACTTTAAATGTTTAAATGTACCGACCAGGTCCGCTGCACTCCCAAGTTACATGGAGAAGTTACATGTACCTAAAGTTTTAGATGCGCGTATGTAACTGACTAAGTCCAAGTCTTAATTGTGGCCCATCTTACTAGGGCCGCTGTCATCGTTACATTGAATGCAAATTTGGAATGCTCAGGCTGCCAGGGCACAAGGCACAGAGTCAGCTTTCTCCGTCTTAAAAATTTGAACGTTCGGTGGCAAGGGACGTGAGGCTGTGGACAATGAATGAATGGAGTGTTCACGGGTTGTAACCTGTCACCTATAGGGAATGTTGTTGAGTCCAGGGGTCCGGGACTGCAAGGTCATAGGAGACTAAGGACGTTGCTGCCATGTGGCTTACCTGTTTCTGGATTTATGCGGTGCATACCTCATACCTAGCTAGGTACATGTAGGTATCAAGCGCATCAAGTGTCTTCCCCCCGGAGCAGCCATGTCAACCTTGAAGTTGGATGAAATAGTTATCACAACTAGACAATTGGAAACCGCGTCGACTTTCAAACCGCGTCGTCACTTTCATCAATTAAAGTGTCCCTCCACTTGCCCCGGTTTTCTATCACCCCCACATCGGGCTGTGTATGTAGGTATGTATTTCGTAGTACGATGGTAGCAGGAATACTTCATACATACATACATACATACCCACCTAAGTACCCTGAGTTCCTGGGTTCGTAAAACCGACTGCCAGAGGGAGACTGCCAACGGCCTGGCTACGAGCTTCCTCAGCCTGTATGGCACAGAGTATTTGATGGCACATGGCTTGCGACGTCATTGCTAAAAATGGAACTACAGCCAACGGGGACCGAGATCCGACTTGCATATGTCGGGACCTCGGGATGCACCCTTGGCACTCTATTGATACTGGGCACTGCAGAATGGCCCATGGGGGCCAGGGCGGAGAAACGTATGTGGAATGTCCATGGAAGGAATGAACACACATTGAAGAACACTACCTATATTTACCTACATAGGTACTTGGTGGGTAGGTATTTGATAACGACTTTGATAAGTGATCCCTGGAATGTGGCTTGAAGCTCATTAATTGAATATTACGTAGTTGGCACGTCAATTCTATGGGACATGCATACCCAATCAGTTACCCCAGATTGTGAAATTATAGCAGATAAGTTCGTGATTACCCCTTCCTCTCTGCCACTCTGCCGCTGTAGACATCAAAAAACCTTGAAACAACCTACTAGGTACCTAGGTACCTACCTACCTATAATATTCCAATCAAACGGGAATCGAGAAGTTTGATCTCCTTAACTGATTCGAAACCTCTATTCTTAAGATAGTCTGGCAAAAGCAAAGGGCACTATGTCAGGCACAAAGGCAAAGGTCCTATCAACCGGTCCTCTCGTACGTATATTATGAACCCCTACGCCGATCAACCAACGGACGTCACACTCACCTCACGCGATGGTAACTAACTTTGCACTTGCACCAGTCAAACGAGGAGGCGGCATGGACAAAACTCGTGAAGTAAGGAGCTGCTGCTGCTGCTGCTACTACTACTTGGGGACGCCCCACCCCCGTTGCCCCATCATGCAACCAAATACCTGGCCGATGACGATAATGAATCACGCCGATGGACTGGCTGGCTGACTTGCCCCTCCAAAAAAGGATCGAGTACAGCGACCCGAACGGCAAGGCGCGGCTGTGGGAGTCGGCCGAGCGGCGCACCCGGCCCAAGGGCGGCGACATCGACGGGGTCGGCATCCTGGCCGTGGTCGAGAAACCCGCAGGGCAAGGGGGGCCCGAGATCGTCCTGCAGAAGCAGTACCGCCCGCCCATAGACAAGGTGTGCATCGAGGTGCCGGCCGGCCTGGTCGACGAGGGCGAGACGGCCGAGGCGGCCGCCCTGCGCGAGCTGAAGGAGGAGACGGGCTACGTGGGCCGCATCGCCGAGACCTCGCCCATGATGTTCAACGGTGCGTGACTTTTGCTTTTGCTTTCTTGGAATTCCTTTTTATGTACCCCAAATCTTGGCTTTGCGTTTTATGTATATATATACCTATGCTAGTGACTTACCCAGGTACTCACTTACTTACTTTTAACTTTACGCTACGATTTACCAGATCCCGGATTCTGCAACACCAATCTGCGCATGGTGCACGTCACGATCGACATGAGCCTGCCGGAGAACCAGGAGCTGAGGCCCGAGCTGGAGGAGAACGAGTTCATAGAGGTGTTCCTCGTTCCGCTCGCCAAGCTCTGGGAAGAGTGCAAGAGGCTGGAGGCGGAGGGCTACGCGATCGATGCCCGGGTCGGCACTCTGGCCGAGGGGATCGAAGTGGCCAAGCAGTTCAAACTATGAAATTCTTCCGACCTTTGTAAGCAATGAAAACGTTCTGGCGCTAGCTTTCTCTATTTGATAAGGCTGGTTTCTTGCATTTCCATTTTCTTGTTGCCCTTTCTTATGTATGTATCATATTATGATACGACAGTATTCGTCGCAATACAAACGGTTTGATTTCCGATTAGATAAGACGCGAAGTTGTTTGCACGAGGAAGAAATCTTGGCTGCCTTAGGCACCAATGTCCTGCTCCCCCCGCAAGCTATAAACCGTTTGCAACCCTTCTCATCTGAAGGAACAGTCCTCAAACCTTCGACTTTAATCAATTCCGTGACCTAGGGGAACCTGGGTAGGTTTTGAGCTCAGTATGGCATCTTCTATTCCATACAACATGTAAGCATCCAATATTGCTGCGTAGGAAGCATAATATCGTTTGTCTAATCATTTACATTAGGATCGCAGCCTCGAGGCCATTCCGCATTCTAGTCGGTCCCGACAAAAAGTCCTTCACGGTGCATTCTGAGCTCCTTGCCCAGATGTCCAAGCCCCTGTACACATTGGTCAATGGGGAGATGGAAGAAGCTAGTGAGGGTGTTGCCGAATGGCCTGAGGTCGACGAGGAGACATTCGCTCGGTTCTGGGAGTTCGCCTATACGAGAGACTATACCGTGGCAGCACCGGGGTTTGTTCCTGACTCGGAAATGTTAAGGCTTAACAAACTTCCATATAACCCACTTCCAGACCCAATAGGAGCATCGGGTGTCGGACGACAGGCCAAGAAACCAAAGGAATCGGAATTGAAAGACGTATTTGAACAATTCGAAGATTTGCACTACAAAATGCCGTCGGCAGACGTGCCGCTCAAGGAGGTGTACCCCAAAACCAGCTTCGACCATTCCCAGTTTTTCCTCTCCCACGCGCGCATCTATGTGCTAGCGGACTACTACGACATTGAGGCGCTCATGGTGCTTAGCCTGAAGAAGTTGCATAAAGCGTTGCGTTCCTTCGAGCTGAGCCAAAATAGGATCGACGATGTCACAGTGGTGTTAGACTACTGCTTTGCAAATACGGTTGATAAAGGGGGAAGTCAGGACAGGCTCAGGCATCTGCTCACTCTCTACGCAGCGTGCAATATTGAGACCTTGTGGCCGAGCTCCAGCTTTCAGGATCTGTTGGAGCGATCGGGTGAGCTATCGAAAGACATCATCGGGTTCACGCTTCAGCGACTGTGATAGGGGATATGCCATGCCACATATACATGGTGGTGGATTACGGCTTGAACACAAGGAGTAAACATACATTGGGAAAGAGCCTTACTATACGTAGTAGTTGGCTGGAATTCAGTACGATGATGCCCTCTGTCAATAAGAAGTTCATCCTGAAGGCAAGCTAGTACTCGAGCTCTTGTAGTCACTCACGAGTCACGCACGACTCATTACATACCTAGGTAGTAGTGGAGCTCGCTCCGTAGTCGATTATCAAGACACCAGCCACGACGAGGGCAAAAAGAAAGGACGTTTGACGAGAGTGGGACTCGAACCCACGCGGATTGCTCCATGTGGAAGATAATATAAGAATATTTCATACTGCTCAGATCTCCTGAACCACACGCCATAACCACTCGGCCATCTCGCCAGCTAGTGAAGGATCGTCAATCTTCATTAGGGTTGTGTGTTGAATTTGAGAGCTAACGGAGGTGTTGAATCGATGTGCGGCTCCACCGACTTAGCAAATTTTCATACCGCAGCATGTCCGAAGTAGGGAGGCAGTTAGATAACGTAATATTGTCTTTCACGATCCCCGCTCGGGGAAATTAAAATCAACTTGTAAATAGGATGCTGTGCTGGGGAGGGGACCAATTTTGAGTTGGCTCAAGTCCATATGGCTTTGGCGGGTTCCTCTGTCTGGTTATCATTTACTACGAGAGACCGATAAAGGCCCTTGATATCCATGGACGCGATGAAACTATCAGAATACCTATCATGTATCATAGGAGACATAGCAAGGACACCGCAATCAATATTGGGTTGGCCTAATAACTATATTGGCCTAATCGTGCCATGTTATCATCCGTCGTCTGATAAACCCGGACCGACGTAACCACACTCATAAGCATCGCTGCTTCCTAACGCCATGCTATCTGCTTTCTGCGAGGCTGTGTTCCCCTTTTCCATTCATTACCCAGAGTACCTATGCTCTGAAGTAAACAATACCCTGGGACTGCAAAGCCCCATAAAATGGGCGCGCCGCAGTGAGAGGAGACGCCGTTGCTCCAATCGCGGCTTGCAGACCTTCATCGAGGCCTGATGCACCTATGGAGGGTCTCTGGAGTGTGAGTGTATATATGCACCTTAGTGATACCAATGGGAGACAGAGTCTGACTGTAGGATTTCCTGCTACTTCAGCTCAGTGTATTCCAAAAGGACTTAGGCACCCGCTTCGCCTTGCCGGTACCCATGCCTCTCCGGCTGTCGGGCATGAACAGGGAGGTGAGATTTGGATCGTCGGCGTGGCCGCCGCCGCCGCTGTGACCGTGGAAGTCGGTGACGCGGAAGCCCTCTCCATCCTTGAACAGGGTGGAGTACAAGTCCTCGAGAGCGGCGGCCCAGGCGCCGACGGCCTGGAGGCGGTCGGCGTCGCCGGCCGACTCGATCTCAAGGGTGCCGGCCTGCTGGTCGATGCGGCCGCGGATCTTGCCGTCGACGATGAGGAAGCCCAGGATGTCCTGGACCTCGGCCTCAGAGATGCTGAGCTGGCGCGCGATCCACGACAGCTTCATTCGCGTGTACGGTGCGATCTGCTTAACGACCGCCTTGGTCCGCATGTTCCGTGTCACCTCGTCGATGTTCTCCGCAATGAACGGGTCCGCGAGGATGTCCTGGTTCTTCTTGAGCACGCTGGCGTACCGCTCCATATCGTCGCGCTGGAAGGCCTCGACCAGCTCCGTCATGGCGGCTATGCGGGGATCGTTGCGGTAGGGCTTCGTCTCTTGCGAGTCGAAAGGGTTGATGTCCGACTTCATGAGCATGGTGGTAAGAAGCAGATACTTGAGAACTTGGATTCGCTGCAATGAACCGGCCTCGTCGTAGTTGCGGAACGACTCGAAGAAGTCGCTCTGAGCATCCTTCCAGTTCTCTTCGCTCATGTGCATCTTCCCACCACACTCGCGGATGATACCCATGATTTTGGGATGAGGTACCGCTGAGCGCACCTTGAGGGCTTTCTGGTACAAGACCTTCAGTTGTTTATTGTTGCGTGTCTCGGCATACATCTGGATTTCCAGAGCGTAAATCTCCAGTGAATATGTGCCCTTGCTCGGATCGTCGCTGCCGTCTTCCCGCTGGCAGGCCTTCTGCAGCTCCCGTAGCTTTTTAGTCACCCCGGGATAATCCTTACGGTCTAGCAACAGCTTAGCAAGTTTGATATTTGTCTTGAGCCACAGCCGCTCGTTGTTCGTGTTATGGAAGCAGCTCAATGTAAGAGAGTAGAACCGTTCCATGCACTTCTGCGCCTCCTCGCTCCCGGCTTCCTTCTCGATGTAGTCTAGCATATTGTTGATAGACTTTTCTGAGTAGTTCCGAGTCACGGCGGATTTGACATAGGTAAGAAGTTCGGTGAAGTGCTCGACTGCCTAGATTGGGGTTTGGTCAGCAACCGTCGTGTGAATAAACCTATCTAGAGCGTTGGGAACCAACCTTGTCATATCTTTCCAAACGGAACTCTAGCTTGATGGCCTGCTTCAGACCCTTGAACCCCCAATCGCCCTTCTCCGATTCCAGCGGGGGGATCCCCAGAAACTCTTCAATCGCATCTTCGGGATCTGACGACTTCATCTGTTTGGCATTGTAGTATTTGTTTTCGATATCGACATCGCCAGAATCTTCGTCGTCATCGTCCTCGTACTCGAAGTCGTATCTGTTCAGAGGCGAGATTAGTTTGTATGGACAATTTGTCGGGTTATAGACAGTGGTAAGCCTACTGCTCCTCATCCGACTCTTGCATGAAATCATCGTCAGACATGTTGGCGGTCGGTCAGGTGGGGTAATGGGTAGGTAGTATTAGATGACGGAGAGTCTCTAAGTTGCCAGACTACTGATCAGATCTATATAGTAGCCTGCAGTACCTCTAGGTAGGAGAACTGAAATGTCTGAAGTACTAAGAGCCACACGAGAACCCGACAAATACTGTGTAACAAGGTGAACTGATGTTATGGAGTTAACGGGTACCTGTTGGTGTTGATAGTGGGGAGCTAGGCAGGCAAGCTGGCAAGGTAAGGCTGAGTTGGTGATGGCTGTGATGATGATGCGGGATTCTTTGGGTGGAGGTGGAGCGGGCGCGTGGGAGTTAAGTCTAGGTACGTAGGTACTTGCCTAGGCTGCCCAGTTAGTTCGTGGGCGAGTGGACTGTGGCAAGCAGGGGCAAGGGCCACTAGTACATTCTAGGTACCTCATCGCTAGCAGGCAACCCTGCAACCCCACCAGTAGGTACATACATACCGACTTAACCTAATACGCGCACTTAACATGCACCGCCAAGACTGCACTAGAAATGCCTAGTGCTGGGATAATGCGGGGCTGGTAACAAGGTTCTGCTTTTCCAACGGGGGCATCCAGTCTGAAGTGTGGCTCGGCCATTGTGGCAAACAAAACAGTTGGAACCTTCCAACCTTGTCTAGAGACTCTGGCCACCTTCCATCATCAACATTCGCTCTTCCATCATCCAACTTCCCACGACATCATATTTTTGAGTGAACCTAGCTTTCACTCATCCATCCCATATTCCACCCACTCGAGTCCCCTATTAGCGATAGAAGAATCCGACTATTTCCAATCTACCGGTCGCCACAACACTCAACGGTCACCAGGTTTGACAGGCGACGCTGCCAGCGACCTCATCTATCAAATCTCTTCTCATCAGCGTAGCCTTCGAATACCGCCAAGATGAGTTTGCTACTCAAGAAGTCATGGCATCCAGCCTTGGTAAGTGAGAATGCGACCCGGCTGATACAACTAGCAACGCCTGCTAACTCATTGTAGATGAAAAACCAAGCTCGTGTCTACGATGCTGAACAATCCGAGATCGCCGAACGAAAAAAAACCGCCGCGCGTCTCCAAGAAATCAAGGAGGAGCGCGCAAAAGAAGCGCTGCAGGCCGACCTGGAGAAGGCCGGAGGAAAGCCCCGACTAAATCGAGTGGATTGGATGTACGAGGGCCCTAGTAATGGACAGAACGGCACAAGCGAAGAGCTTGAAGGCTTTCTACTAGGCAAGAGGCGCATCGACAATTTAATCACGCGCGGTTCCGAGCAGGAGAGCCTCAAGAAACAAGCTGGGGTAGGACCGGATCTTACGGCAGCGCCGAAGCTGAATGAGAGAGACACCGCCGCCAAACTTCGGGAAGATCCTCTCTTGGCGATCAAGAGAAAAGAGCAAGAAGCCTACGAGGCCATGGTTTCCGACCCCATCCGACGACAACAGCTGTTGGTGGCAATGGGGAAATCCGAAGAGAAGCAGTCATCTCGGAAGAAGGAAGATAGGCATTCAAGGAGGCATAAACACAGATCAGACTCTAGGGAGCATCGCCATCGAAGACACCGACGCTCGGATTCGAAAGATAGAGAAGATCCAGAAGAGCGCAGACACAGAAGTCGCAGGTCCGACTCTCGAGATCGGTCTACGAGCAGAGATCGATATGAGTCCAGAAAGAGCCGGCATGATGAGCGTCCGTCAGCACGACAGCGATCTGAGTCACCAGAGAGGTCGAGAGACTTTGGCAGATCCCGGAGAGAACGTTCACGAAGCCCGCGCCGCAGTAGCTACGACGACCAGGAGGATCGACCCAACAAGCGGCGACGCGACTACTCGGAAGAGCCCTCACGAGGAAATCGGCGACACGAGTCCAGCTTTGACGAGCCTCGTCGGGGCGCCCGCGACGGAAGATACGGCAACGACCGGCGCAGAAACGACCGGTATGGCGGCGGCAGCAATAGCGGGGGCAATGCTAGCTCGTCGAACGCAGCGGCTGCTGATGCCGAGGAGAAGGCGCGCAAGTTGGCCGCCATGCAGGCCAACGCGTCGGGTCTTGACCAGGACCGCGCCAAGCGGCTGGCCGAGCTGGATGAGAGGGAGCGCCTCGCACGGGAAGCCGATGATAAGGCAAGAGAGCGGTCCGGGAAGTACGGCGGCGACAAGGAATTCGTACATGGGCTGCGAAGGCAGCTCATCAATAAGTAGATAACCAGGCACTGGGTTCGGGCTCGGGTTCGGATTCTATGAATGAATGAATGGGTATCAGAATATCTAGGGTCAGAATAGCGCCACTGGGAAGAAAGTGCTGCGTGAATGGGGCGCCGAGGAATAGACTTATACGCCGACTAACTGTTTCCTCGTCATGCTGAAACTTACCTTGGCATCTTTCGCTGTGATTTAGAAAATACCAGGCCGCTTTGGGTTCATTTCTACGGATGACTTTCAACACGGGGAATATAATCGAACCTCTTCATCACATGACGTAATTCAGCCATAGTGTAGGCAACAAGCTACCATGCCCGACGATTCCAGCATCGACTACACTTTCACGCTCACTTTCCCGATGTATTCTCGGTACACTCCCTTCCATAAATGTACAATGCCTTT